AATTTTCTAAAGAAAACCATTTTTTTCCTTTGTCACCTGTTACTTCTTATCCTGTATCAGATTCCCAGAAACTTACTTTAATAATCCTGTAGTCCTTGTCTTTACCCCCCTCACACACACATACTTTTCAGTAAAGAATCCCGTCCAATGCGATATTTGGATTTTTCCGTTCAGTGACAGCCCGAGACAGGCTATACCTGGGGGTAGAGTGCCGTACTGTGAATCTTAGGGTCCATGGGTGCTTTATAAGAATGATGGTCAAATCCCACTATTGGATTAGAGTGTCCCAAGACATGGCAGTGGATGCTGTTGGTTAACTGTCTTCTCTCTAGTATATCAGGTCAAAATTATGGACGGCTATCAGCATAGCCATTGTTTAGCTTTGAAACAAACAAACAAACTAACTAACAGCCCAATAAGTAATCCTATTCTGACTTGTTCTGGTCTCTTGGCCTCCTGGAACCACAGAGAGTCAGTGCTCCCTTAATTAGGACGTCAAGTCAGTAATGTCGCGGCGTGTCTCGAATCTTAAAAGCAGGGCTAATTCAATTCTCTTTCTTATAAATACAGAATGATGTGTCGTGATCGGAATGGGAACAATAACCCCACCTTTGCCAGTGAGAAATACGCATATAGCAGTATTTTTTGCATCTTTCAGTATGTACTTAACTGTTAAGCACGTTTCCAAATCACCAAAAACTCAACCTTGTCTGAAGTAGCTTATAGGCTAACACGAGACAAAATGATCAAAAACTCCGGTCGTGTGAAGAAAAAGTATAGAACCTAACACGCGTCCAAATAACTAAAAACCCCGTTCGCCCGAGAAATATATATATTTTTTCGAATTAATGGGCTTCTATATGTCCACGTTTGACAGAACAATTGACCAAACATAGTAATCGTAATATGTTAATAAAATATACACGTCATCAGTGACATATTAGCTAATTACGTCACCGTGTGTTTTGACCCACGAATTGAAATTATCAATCTGTGCTTGATTTTATGAAAGTGATAACTGAAGCTGTTTTCGAATTATTTCTGATATGTTTCGTACTTGCAGCTTTAATACAAGGAGTATTCATAATATTGGGTAAATAATGTGCGCCATCTTGAAACGTATGCGTTTAATACCTAATATAAGTTGTCGCGAGCAATAACATCCATTTATTCATGATATTGGGTAAATAATTTGCTCCATCTTGAAACGTATGGGTTTGATATGTAAGTAGTCACTACCAACAACGTCTTTGTTTATCTCGTAGCTCAGACATAGCTATGAAGGGTCAAAGGGCAAGGTATGGCAAAAGTCGATCCTCACCATAATTGCATATTGCGAATCGATCGCCCTAACCATCTGGCAATACCAGGCTTGGAGTTTGTTGAAAGCAAATAATAGGATTGGACTGTAACTCTTGCTACGCATCCATATTCATCCCCACCCCCCGTGAAAAGAGAAAGAATTTGAGAAAAGTTTGTTTTCCCCTAAAATATTGGTAGCCGGTGTGAATACATCTACTTGCTAAAAGAATAAATAAAAATCTTCTCAGGCAACATTTCTCGTCAAGATAAATACAGACTAACATCATTTGTACTCTCGAACCCAAATCAGTGAGTTAGTTTGGTTTGTTTTAATTAAAGTTCACGCAAGGCTGGCTACTCGAGGACTTTCTGCGCTTGCCGTTCCAAAATTAGCAGTGATAGACTAGAGGGAAGGCAGCTAGTCAAAACTACCCACCGCCAACTTTTGGACTATTATTTTACCAACGAATAGTGGGATTTATCGTCACATTATAACGCTCCCACGCCTGAAAGAGCGAACATATTCGGTAAAGAAGATTAGAACCTGTGAGTCGAGTTCTCTAACCAGTGTGCCATGCTAGGTCTAAATAAGCAATGTGCACTCTGTTCATCTTGGAGATCCGAACCCCGAATTTTAGCGTTGCAATAAATGTATCGCTGAATACTTGGGACCCGTACACTGAAGCAAACCTTCATGGTGATGTACGTTAAGCTGCTACATACCTTCGGTAGAATATAGTGAAGACCCAGCGTATACTGTGTAAGAGAAATGTTACGGTAGAATAAGTACGAAATAGTAAATAAACGCTAACCCTGATAATTTTAATGTTGAAATAAATCCACACTCTCCCCCTTCCCACTTACCCCAATGCGTAAGTTTGATTAATCAAAAATAATGTTAAAAAATGTGACTGATAATAACACAGTCTCTTGTAACTTTTTTATTTTATAATCAAACTGTTAGTTTTGCTGTTTATTTATTATGTTTATTAGGTATGTTTAATTAATCTATTTTATGTTAAAAACTATGACTGTTAACCTACTTGAAATGGTGACTGTTATATTAAGATTTGTTTTGCTTAAGTCAGTTGCAGCTCCTTTAATTGGCCGTATTGTAGTGATCTTTTAATCCAGGCTTATCATATATTGCGATGTGAGTGTTGCGCGTAGCATCAAATACATGTGCATTTTTTTAAATATATAAAAACGAATGCTGTTCTTTATAACGTATTTTTAAACTACATGTGAACGTTTTATGTCGTGTATATGGATTACCTGTAAAATAAAAGGGTTTTGAATCAAATATAAACTGAAAGTTATGGTGACGTCATCAGTAAATTATGCTAATTTATTCTATCAAAAGTCTGAAACAGTCTTCGATTATGTATTACGAACCGTCGAAGGTCAAAATATCCACCCTTTTAAAGCAATAATTTTAAACAATAAAATAAACTTTCAGTATTCTGCTATAGGGAATATTGCTGTAACAGGCTCGCCATCTAGTAGAAAAAAATAATATTAAATCCTTTAAAAATTAACACATTCAGAGCGTTCATACTTAAATATATATTGTATGTTTATGTAAATACGTTAAAATGTTTTAATGGGTTTAGGTAGAACCAAACTGGTCTAATATAGAATTTGTATTTCTTCGTATTGGAAGAATGATCATAATAACATTAATATAAAAAGAAACTTGTAAATGTTAAAATACACAAAATGAGTAAATATTCTCAGCGTAGTACGTATTTTTTTATGTTGCTCGTTACAGTTTTTAAAAAAGATTATAACATCATTTTTTTTGTTCTAGGTTATATCAGAAAAAAGTCACGTGTTTCTTTTTCAAACGTACATATTTTATTCAACTAATGTATCCCAAAATACATATTTGAAAATAAAACGCAGAACTTTTTTAGCATCTGCTCTGTGACGTCATTGTGTAACCGGTATCCTTGACATTGTAATTTGACATACAGGTAGGTAGAAGTTTTCACGAAAAATAAATCAATAAATCAAAACTGCCTCCCTCCGCTGGCTCAACGGAAAGCCTGGGGGGCTTAAAACGCTAAAAATCGGTTTTCGATACACGCGGTAGGCTTCTTTATTTGTTTGTTTTAGAGCAAAGCCTCATTGGGCAATCTACGGGAATGTAACCCCGAATTTTAGTGTTGTAAATCCGTAAACTTACCGCTATTCCACCGGGAGACACGCGGTGGGCAAAGCACAGAAAGCACATTGTACAGTGCTTAACAAACAAAAATTCGTCAATTGGTTGACAATTATCACTATGTATATCATGGCATTTAATAATGAAATAAGTTTTAGTTTCTTCACCTCTTAGCGTAAAATGGATATTTTTTTTTGAGATATTTCAATATAATTTATTTAATTCAAACCGGATATTTTTCATATCCTCTCTAATTAGAACATTCATGACTTTTTTGTGTATGTTACAGCAGTAATCACCAGCAAAATTTACATTTTCTCGTAACTTTAGATCACAAAAATCTTTTATATGTACTATAAATAATATAGGATCTAAAACAGATCCTCGTGGAACACTAGACAGAAGTGTGAGGGAAAAAGTATCGCTAAATAAAAAAGCTATGTAGGGCTGGCTACTGGACTTGAAAAAATAAACCGAACAAGATAGGGATGGAAGCTGACGTATAACTTGATCTGGCTAATGGTAGACTAAGTCGAATATAATCCCTACATTACTGACTTCTCTACTTTGTCTATCAAAAGCTTGGTGTTTGAGTAGAATCTCAGCTTTCATCATCATAACTTTCCTTTAGTTAACTTTAGAATACTACTTTTATGACTATTTTACAGTAGAGTAACATTTTACGATTGTAAATTCGGGTTCTATTTGTTGTTAGCCAGTAATGTAGATATTTTATTTTCCGTGTAAAGCAGCTTAGCCTGTTTTGTGATCATTAGCCGATTGAGTGATATGTCCACTTCCATCTCTATCCTGTTTGGTTCCTTTTTTTCAGCCCCCCTCCAGTGGCACAGCGGTATGTCTGCGGACTAACAACGCTAGAAACCGGGTTTCGATACCTGGTAGGCAGAGCACAGGTAGCTTATTGTGTAGCTTTGTGCCTAACTTCAAGCAAACAAATCATTTTTTCAAGTTTAATAGCCAGCCCTACATAGTTTTTTATTTAGCGATATTTTTCCTTATACTTGTTTTTTTACTCTTTTTTTTATAAGATGGCGTACGTGGGTTACTAGGTTATAGAGTGTAGCTGTATAGCTGAAAAGCGGCATATACACCGGAGTTAGAACGACTATGCCAGGTAGCTCTTCATATCTAGTTTCTGATGACATGTAGAGAAGAAAATCCAGATGACTTTTGTATTGCTTTAATACGGGCGTCCCTGTCATCATTACATAGCGAGTGCTAGCACATTCCTGCCAATCTGTAGTATAAGATTATCACTGTTCTTTGCATATAAATATCCCATTCTATTTTCTAACTAACTTTTAAACCACTGCGGGGGAATCGAACCCCGGATTTGTAAGTTGTAAGTCCTTAAACTTACTGCTGTCCCACCTGGGGACTATAATAGATGCAAAGTGAACATTATACTTTTTTCTTTTATGTATTTTTTTAGGTTTCATTTTATGTTTCTTACTCAGTTGTTATTTTTTCGGAATAATATTATCAGTTTTTGTTTGTTTTTTTACCTTAGGATTTCCGCTACTTTCTTGGTAGCAGTGTTCATGACTTGGGCGCGCCCTTAGACCTGTCATCAGCGCCACACTGTGGACTGAATAGTAGTGACGACCACCATAACGCTGGACGAGGGAGGTTGGAAAGGCCCCCCTCACCCCCACCCACATCAACACACGGGACCCGGGGGGCCAGCGGTACCTTCGGGGGTTCCAGGACCCCCACATAGCGTTCCAGCTCATTCTGTACATCCAGGTGGTCCAGCATATGGACACCTACCCTATCAAACCGCTGTAACTGGACCAAATAATCCAGTTCCACACCCTGGCCCTCTGTGCCCCACGGTATCCATGCCGGGACCAATGCCTCCACATCATCCTGGATCTGGGGTTGTTCCTCACCCCCCTGGCATGCCTACTCACAACATTCCTCATCCTATGCCCGATGGAAGACCTTTAGATCATGGGTAAGTAAACCCTAAACTTTGTTTATCTGTTAAAAAATCATAAGTAGGCCTCCAAAACACGTTTATATCTAAAAGACTAAGAAATGTGTGAGATAAGAAAAAAAAGAGGCATCAGAATTAACAATAAATATTACATTAAGTAACTTCACAGTTTACACGGATTATTTATTTAGCCCCTCAGTGGCACAGCGGTACGTCTGCGGACTTACAGCGCTAGAATCCGGGTTTCGATACCCGTGGTGGGCAGAGCACAGATAGCCCATTGTGTACCTTTGTTCATTCAAAAATCTCGCAGATGAACGTAAATTTCTACGAGATTATTTTACATAGACGAGAATATAACCAAAGAAGGTAATTCTAAATAATTTATGAACAATAACAAGTTTTTATTTATTTTCTATTGGCTGCATGCGCGCGCAGAGAGGGGGGATCGAATTCCCTAAATTGCACTTAAATATATATATATATATATACATACATAACATACTTAAGAGATGTAAAAAATACAGATTCCATCAAAATGCTCGTTTTTCAGTGAAAATTACAAAAACAATTCAGAGGGGAAATGACTCCCTAGTGTGGCTTAGCCATTCATTTCCTTTTCCCTCTAAAAGTGACACACCCATTATAGATTTCTGCCTGGCTCCTGGGCTCTATTGCACGATGCATGCCTTTCATAAGTGAAAGCATTTAAGAACAGGCGAAAACCGCGTTCGATCTTACGAAAACATGGGTCTTGTTATTTAACATCTTATATATATATATATATTGCGACCCGTGGTGTCTGTCCGAGTCTGTCTTCCGTTTGAAAAGCTGCGCATGCAGGCAAAGCTCAACATTCACTTTTGAAATGACGGGAGAACAGTCATGAATAATGTTGATGCCAAATTTTATTTCCCAAGCAGGATATTATACACTAAATTGTTAGGAATTAATCACACTAACATTCACATTTCAAACTGTGACGTAACTTAAATAATAAAAACGTACATTTACCGTATGTTATTGTTAAGCAGCTCTTAGCATGACTGAAATGCTGAACAATTACTTTTCAGGGTGGGCGGTATAAGTAACTCAGTGCTTCGGCTCTGAGTGAAACAGAGAGTGAAATAAAATTAACCTTTTAAATTCCATGAAATAATTTAAACTGATAGATTAACTTAAACTTTTCCCGTCACTGGGGACGGGTACTTTTGCTTGATAAACTTAAACTTTTCCCGTCACTGGGGACGGGTACTTTTGTTTGTATATAATAAGACACTTTTGCATAAACTTGTGTAGCCGATGGATACATCAGACTTTAGATTTTATTCCAAGACGAATAAAAAAAAGTACTTTAACCCTAAAGTTATCGGTGAGGTTCAAACATACCTGTTTTTGAAGAAAAAAAAATCTAAACTATTTATGCACCAAATAGTTTTTGTGGGTCCATGACTCTGTTGGTCCCTAATAACATGTGAGTGTTTGTTTGTAATTAAGCACAAAGCTACACAATGGGCTATATGTGCTGTGCCCACCACGGGTATAGAAACCCGGTTTCTAGCGTTGTAAGTCCGCAAACATACCGCTGTGCCACTGGGGGAAAATAACATATGAGATACAAAAAATAAATGCCGACAAAAATAACATCGATTTAATCCATCAATTTTTCTTTAGGTTTCGTGTGTATTTTACTTAGAAAATTAGTGACTTCATTGATTTTTTTTGTTGTTGTTGTTTTGGCGAGTTCTTTACATTGAGTGTTGTAACAGGTATAAACGTATTTACTCAATATTATGTAATATGTCTGATTTTAACCAATAGGCCTAAACTCTGTGATAAGTTTGTTTGTTTGTTTTTGAATTTCGCGCAAAGCTACACGAGGGCTATCTGCACTAGCCATCCCTAATTTAGCAGTGTAAGACTAGAGGGAAGGCAGCTAGTCATCACCACCCACCGCCAACTCTTGGGCTACTCTTTTTACCAACGAATAGTGGGATTGACCGTCACATTATAACGCCCCCACGGCTGAAAGGGCGAGCATGTTTGGTGTGAGAGTGATTCTCTGTGATAAGAATCACATTAATTGCAAATTTCTCTCCCCCTCCCTCTTTCCCCGCATTCTTTCCAATTTGTCCTTTGCGAATTCAAATTCAGAAGCGTGTAAACATAGCTTTTCAGATAAGAGAAATGTGAGAAGAAGAAAAAACTCCAATTAAACCTGATTTTTATCACAATTTTTAGGCCCTTTAGTGCCTCCAACTTTTAATTAGACTTTAATTTTGTAAGTGATCCAAGTTGCTCCATTTTTTTCAGCGAGGGTGTGCGATTTTCAGAAAAAAATAGTATGCACACTCATGATTTTATCGGAATGTGACGCATCATATTTCACACACTATATTAAATTACTTAGATCGACTTGATTAAAAAAAAAAAACTCTTATACCGTTGTGTAATTTCTTTAAAATCAGGAAGTAGAAATGTCCACAAATTTTTCAATTCATTAGTTTATTTAATGTCAAATTCGAGGCCTACTTTCTTCTGGCGTGTGTTAGTGGGCAAGAAATATCTTTCTGTTCTTTCGATTGACAATATTGTAAAGTACAAGGCAGGCAACAGCTTAACTGGCAGCGCCCCCTATTTACACTGGATCCTCCGAGTATTTGACGCCTTAGGCAGCCGCCAGTGTCGTCTATCCTTAACGCTAGGCCTAGTAAAAATACTTGTAAATTAACAGGATACAACCCATTGAATAAAGAAGTAGAAGATCGTTATACACGAGGGATTTTAAACGGACGTGACTCCTAGAAAATTGAAAATGACTATAAAAATAATCAAAAAATGCAGAGAAACCAAGTTGCAATGTAGTTACGTGGTTCAATGAACTCCAGCACAATTAAATTTCACCTGAAGAGGTAGATGTTAGAAATCCCATGCGTTTACTGTAAGAAACTTAATCACACAGGCGCTGAATAGTTTGTAACTTATGAAAGTTTACTTTCGTGGATGGTTTCCATAGTAACCTCACCCCACCAGGAACTAAAAAGAATTAAAAATATAAAACGCTATAGTGAGGTATTTCGGCGACAAAAAAAAACGGGGGGGGGGGTGTCAAACAATATATTTTTCATTGATTCAATGAAAGAGCCAGTCGACATAGAGTTATCCTTATGAATGCGTTTTCAGCTGCATACGCCTCCTGTAGCACTGTTTTTCTTCTTTTTTAGTTTTCTCAGTAAAATAAAATGGGCAATATTAGAGCTCGTATCAAATAATGAAGTGGTAAAAATATCCCTTACGTACTTTTGTTATGGTTAGAACCTTTTGCATTTATTAGAAGGCTTAAATTATTTCTTTGTTTTTCTCTAATCGCAAACATGAATAATGGGCTAACTGCAGGGATCAAACCAAAAATGTTAAGTGTTGTAAGCCCTTAATCTTTACACTGAGTCACCGGGGCGAGGAGGGGGGCGCAAAAGCTTAACTTTGATACACTACTTAGGTTCATCGTATCTGTCTTAAAATTAATAACGATGAAAATTAGTATCTTCTGTTATAGACTCCCCTAGCGAATATGTAATGAACTATTAAAACTGCAGTTTTGGGGGGAAAAATAAATAAAACGACTTAAATTCATTAGGTTTTATAACACCCTTAACTTGATACTATGTAATATTTATTTTATAGTGGTACATACGTGTGTAAGCAATTCATATTCAAATATGAGGTCACTTACTTCCCTACTTCGCGCCCCCTAGTGCCACAGCGGCATGTCTATGGACTTACTACGCTAGAAGCCGGTTTTCGATACACGTGGTGGGCAGAGCACAGATAGTCCATTGTGTGGCCTGTCATGGCTAGGTGGTTAGGGCGCTCTACTCACAATCTGAGGGTCGCGGGTTCGAATCCCCGTTCCACCAAACACGCTCGCCTTTCAGTCTTGGGGGCGTTATAATGTGACGGTCAATCCCACTATTCGTTGGTAAAAGAATAGCCCAAGAGTTGGCGATGGGTGGTGATGACTAGCTGTCTTCCCTCAAGTCTTACACTGCTAAATTAGGGACGGCTAGCGCAGATAGCCCTTGTGTAGCTTTGCGCGAAATTCAAAACAAACCAAACCGTACTTCGCAACTCGACAATAGATCTGGTAGCACAATTCTAAATTTATCCGTCAGATTTTCTTGTTGTTTTAAGTTTTTACGTATATGCGATTTTGGCCTTTGCAATAGTATAATTTGCAAATTTTCCATCTGTGTGACCCCCCCCCCCCATTGGCACAGCGGTATGTCTGCGGACTTACAACACTAGAAACCGGGTTTCGATACTCATGGTGGGCAGAGCACAGATAGCCCATTGGTTGTTGGAACGTTTAGTTTATCGCGACGAATGTGTATCAGGATTAGTGCGTGCAAACTTTTCAAATCGTACTTGACCATCCTGCCTGTACCACCAGTGGATCGTGTCCATATAGCATATGAGATGTGTATAAGTTATAAGTTTGTTGTTGTTAATTGTTTGTTTGTAACTAAGCACAAATCTACACAATGGGCTAGCTGTGCTCTGTCCACCACGGGTATCGAAACCCGGTGTCTAGCGTTATAAGTCCGCAGACATACCGCTGTGCCACTGGTGGGTACTGTTGTTAATTAACCAACTTTTAACTACAGGGGAAAAAGCTCAAATGGCCAGTTTCTGATAAATATTACTTACCCTAGGTTGGAATTTTAAAATATTTTACGGAGATTGTGAGGGTAATTAACACAAGTACACTTTTTAAAATTTAACTCATTTCTACAAAATGCAAGTAGGTAAATGCGAAAGTGGTTCCATCTGTAGTTTACTTCAAAAATTATTTAGCATGTATGGCTTTAAAGTCGAAAACAGTTTCGAATTCATCCAGATTTATAATTTTTGGACAAAAGGGTGTATGTAAAAAAAGGTAAATCAGATATATCCATCTAGCTGACATTGTCGTGGTGCGCATGTCACTTGAACTAAATTATCATTTACGTAGCTTGCTG